ATCATGACTCTGAGCCAAAGTCGATCGCCAACCGACTGAGCCACCCAGGTTCCCCTAACTATCTTTCAATGATAGCCATCTCCTTATCTCATGGTTTTAAATGAAAATACAACCTATATGAAAAACAGCTCACCTGTAAGGTTTACTTCTTTGAGTACCTACTATGTGCCAGATACAGTGCTGGGCCCAGAGGATATAGTGGCAATCTAGATAGACCCAGCCTCAAGCTCTGGGAGCCTATAGTCTTACAAGGAAGACTACTGGCATTCAACAGATCTATACAAATAAATTAATCACCATCGGGAGACATACCAAGCCAGAAAAATGTTTGTTGGTAAGGAGATAAACTAGGGGGAAACAATCGGGAGTGGCCTGAAGGCTTCCTGGAAAAGGGACCTAAGGGTAAGAGTCAGTGGAGTCATAAGCAAGAGGTCCCAGGCAGAGGCAATACATCGGGCAAAGGTTCTGAGGTGGCTAGGAGCTTGTCTGGGGATGGCTAGTGTCACAGACGCTGAGGTGGCTGGTTATGAAGATGTCGAGCTTCTTTCTGAAGGGGATGAAGTCAGGGAGGAGTGTGGGCAGAGGACCACACAGACACAGATGTATCACCCCACAAGGATACGGTAGACAATTTCCAGAAACAGAGGGGAATGCAGCAGCTTAGAGAGTGCCGGGAAGAAAACACCTGCTCTTCCTCCTCCTGCCACCAGCTGCTGCCTCCCATTGGCTGATCCCATCCGGAAGTCATGGGCAAAGGAGCTTGCAGTGCAGGGTGGCTCTGTCTCCCAGGGCGCAGAGCAGGGTGCAGAAGCACAGAGGCATCTGGGGAACCTAAATCACCAACAGTCCCATGGGAATCGGATACAGCTTGGCCTCTCCAAGGTTCAGAGCCCTCCTTCAGGACTGTGGTCCTCAGGGAGCACTGCTGGAGGAGCCCAGAGAGACCCAGCCCTAAGGCCAGGAGCACAGACTGTCCACAGAAAGCATCCGGCCAGTCCTTTCGTGTGTGGTTCCGCAGGTCATCCAACCTGAGCTTCATATCCGTAGGTGTGAGTAGAACAACTCATCATCCCTAACCTTCTGAGGTCCAAAATGCAGAGCTTTTGCATCACCCCCCCTCCCCGCAAAGTTAGAAGGAGGTTATTTAGAGACAAGATCTAGGAGGACACGGGCTAGCTATAGTCTTAATTATTTCGTTAATGTCAAAATCCTACATTTCCTGCAGAACACGAATATCATAGGCTTGATTATGGGAGGTGCCCAACCCGTCCATGGGGGGTGAATTACACAATATCATAGACACTGTCTCAATTTTTTTCTGAAACTTCACCCAAACTCTGAATTCTGAAGAATTCTTCTGCCCAAGGGTTTTGGATAAGGGATTGTGGATCCATACTGCTACCTTTGGGGGGTTGAAGATGCCACGAATTAATGAGTACTGAAAAAAAAAAACTGGGCACAGTCCCTGGAACACGGAGGGATCTTTGCTTTATCTCCAGATAAACCATTTTACCCTCAAAGCCTCCTGGGAGCCACTGAGAGAGAAGAGCTGCGCGTGTTTTGTGTCTCCGCTAATATGAGATAGATGACTTCTACTCAAAATCATCCAGCCCTGGAAAACTTCAGGCAACTCATGGACGCAGTTTCAAAATGCTTTTTAGGGGCATGTGGCTGGCTCAGTCGGTTGCTGCCTGACTCTCGATTTTATTCAGGCTCCATCTCTCGTGGTGAGATCAGAGCCCTGCATCAGGCTCATGCCCACAGCCTGCTGGGGTTGGTTTTTCTCTCTCTCTCTCCACGCACGCCTCTCAAAATAAATAAACTTTAAAAAACAAGCCCAAATGTTGTTTTGGCAATAGATTGCCCAAATGAGATTCCAGCGGATTCCCCCACATATCAAGAGCATGCCGTGGAGTGCATCCGGCAAACGTTTATTTTACACGTTCATATTTGTACAATAGGGCCTGAGCCGCAAAGAACGATGGAGGGTTTTAGCTGGAACGCCAAAATGAGGGGTTTAGCAGAGCCAGCCGAGGGGCTTCTCCCAGCCAAGCCAGCGTGTCCCATCCCCTGGGGAATTTTCGCTCAGGATTTGCTGTGTGCCAGCCATGCCTCGAGTCACAGATAACTGGCTTCAAACCGTTAACAGTTCTGCACAACCGCTTGCTTTGCTCTGTCCGGAAATTCTTCCAGAAAACCTTGAGAAGCGGTAGATTTGGTTTCAGGGGCCACGTTGAACGACCACGCAACGTCGTGGATCACAAGTATGAACGGTGGAGAGGAAACACCTGAACCTCACAATCAGCACAAAGAAGAGCCCTGACACTGCGATAAGACGGTAAGAAATGTCACGCTGTCCCTTGTTACGATGCAATGATTGTGCCTCGATGGGAGAACGGCATGCAACAAACAAACGTGCCTGAGGTCTGTGTAGCATTTGTTCCACTTGGGACTCAGAGGAAAAGGAAACGGTGAACACAGTAGAAAGATACACTGTGAGTGGCTTTGCCCAGGCTGGAAACTTACAAGGGCGGAAAAGATCAATAGAAAACTACAAACTTCTAGACCCTGGATGCACTTGGCAAGAAGATCAAATACACACGTTGGGGAGGGCAGGGAAATCTTTACAGCAAAAAGGGATGTCGAGGCTGATGGTGCAGAGTCAGCTTGGGGAGTTTACAGAAATCAGAGTCTTTCGGGTTTTGGGTTGTCACTGCAAGCAAACTCTAGAAACTCCTTCGGTCTTGACACTTGCTGGGAATGCAAGGACCTGAGAGGAATTTCTGACCGCCTGAGGGTGGGTCCTGCACCCTGCACCTTGGCTGCCAAGGTGAAGGGGTGGGTAGAGAGAGAATCTCCACCTCTCGGCTCTGCTAAGGGGGCCACGGGGGGCAGCCCCATAGAAATGAGAACAGAGGTTGGATGCTGGAATTCACGGACATGACTGATGCCCACCATAGTAATACATTGGGGGGCTGGGTCCACTATTACAATTCGTTGGTAAGAATCTGAGCCTCTATGTGTGTGTGTGTGTGTGTGTGTGTGTGTGTGTGTGTGTGTAGATTGCATTTAAAAAAAAAAAAAAAAGAAATTCAGCTCAAACCCTTGCAAATCCCTGAACCAATGGAAGTTTGCAGACTCACAGGTCAGACGTCCCCGAATGAGAGCTCTGTCTCCCCATGGGCATTTGGATGTCACCTGACCAATTTTGTTGTTGTTCTTCACCGTCACGGGGGGGGGACTCAAGGTTCATGTTGTTAATCGATAACCCTTGAAGGTGACCTCTTTAATTATTTACCTCCTTTTGGACTCTTTCCTGGGAGTCTTGCCTTTTGCTCTGTAGAGCCGAGCGCCCCCTCTGCGCAAGTCAGAGCTTCTGGAGGTGGATCTGGGGAGACCCACATCCCAAGCCCAGGCGCCAATCAGAGCAGAAGAGTCCCCCGTCTGACCATCCCTGTAAGGGACACCGAGCGAGTACGGAACAGCGACAGCTTTTGAGAGTCAAGCGCCAGAGCACGGAGCTCCTCAGGTGTGGCGAGCAGGCATCTCACTTTGTCAGGCATGGTTTCTGTTTGCCGTGTATAAAACAGGGTGGTCCACCCTGGACGACTTTCTGCCAGAGGTACATTCAAGGTACATCCTTTTAAAAGACAAAACAACAACAACAACAACAACAAAACCAAAAACAACCCCCCCAGCAAACCAACCAAAAACCAAAAACCAAACGAAACCGCTGAAAAACCAAAATGGGTCTAGACTTTGCAATGGCGGCATTTCCAGCAGGGCTGAAAGCCAGAAGGTTCTGGGTCTCTTCCTGGCAACACATGCTTCGCTGTCCCCCAACCTCAGCCCACAGAGAGGGGACGGCGGTGCTGAAGGGGACAGTGGCCTTTCTCCAGAGCAGGGAGCTCCCTGACACGTTCCTCCTTCTTGGCTTCTCCTCAATTCTGGCGCGAGACCTCTTGCACAACCTTGGACTCCCAGGCCCTGTTTCTCCTCTTCCGTTTCCTGTAAACACCTGCTCATGCGCGGTGGGGGAGGGGGAGGACGGCCCTCGGTCTCCAGGGAAACAGCCCGAGAGGCGCTTCTGGGCTCAGCCTGCGACCTTCTGGGGTCTCCAGGTTGTCAGACGTTGTTGGAGGGTCTCTGAGACCCTTCTTCACCCAGAAGTTACCCTCGTCCCCTCAAATGACACTCTCACACATACCCAGGTGTTCCCCCCACACTTACATGTTGCCCCCCACTACGCCCACATCCCATTCATACTCAGATGCCACCCACACATCCAAATGGTACCTGGGTCACTCGTCTGTTCAAGCGACTCAGGTGTTCCCCGCACCTACTCGGATACTGAATTGTGAGTGTCGCCAGGGCAAGGCGTGGGTCCGTTTGCTCCCGGCTGTATGGCCAGTGCCCGAAGCTGTGCCTCGGACCCCGTGGGTGCCCAGAAAACATTGGTTGAGTGAGTGAGTTTGCGCAAGCAAATATTACCTACATCCGCTCAAACGGCACCCGCACCCACTCAGATGTACCCACGTGACTCGAATGTTCCCCAGCCTCTATGAGTGCCACGAAGGCAGGGATCTGCGTTGGGTCCACTCGCTTCTCCCAGCTCCTAGAACAGCGCCTGGGACATAGTAGGTGTGTGAGAACGAATGAATGAATGAATGACCCAGGCTCAACCGGACAGGGACCACACCACGCAGAGGTAACCCAGAAGCTGACTCGGATAAGAAGAGCCGCCCTCCCTCCCTGCCAGTCAGATGTCCCCCTGGCTCACTCAGATGACACTCATTCAGAGTGACCTCCACGTTTGAGTACTATTCCCCATCCTTTGTATTATTCACACTCCCTCAAATTCCCCAGACGAATTCAGAGGCTACCCAGTCGTCACCCACACCCACTCAGATGGCACCCACCTCCCACTCTGCCGCGCCCCCCCCCCCCCCCCCCCCCCCCCCCCCCCCCCCCCCCCGGCCCCGCGCCCTCCCCATGTCACCTCACAGCTTGTCAGATGCATGGTGCCTTCGCCGGTTTTTCTTATGCTTCCTCTTGCCTCTCCTGTCATCTCCAGGCTTGCTCGGCTTCTCCGTGGAGTCCAGAGGCGGCGCCGCATCCGCCCCGGCGGTGGCCCCAGCCCCGGGCTGCTTCTCCCCGGCCCCGGGCGCGCGGCACTTTCTGGCAGGTGGCTCTCTGGGGCCCGTCACTGCGGGGCACAATTCCTGCCTCAGGACCCGGGCCACGTCCTCCACCGTCCTGCCCTCGCTCTGCAGGAAGAGGTTCAGCTTGGTCAGGAATTCAATGTCCTGCTTCCGGGGCATGTAGACCACCCTCCACAGGCCGCCCTTGCCCTTGATCTCCCTGGGGATGACGGCATAATTGATGTCCTCCGCCAGCCTGATGATGGCTGCCTTGGACCTCTCTTCTTCCAGAAAGGCCTTCCCAGCCACTTCGAACTTGCCCAGAGGTCTCAGGGGGGCCCGTATGATGTCTTCGAATTCCTCGTGGTCGCAGTCTTCCGGGATATCCAGGATCATCAGGGACTTGTAACTGTCCACCTCCAGAGCCTTGCACCCGTGCTCCAACAGGGCGATGTCCTTCACCCCGAACAGCATCCTGCCCAGCTCGCGGAGGCAGCAGTATGCCCGCTGGGGCACCCCCGAGCTGCCTCGGGGATCCGGAAGGCGATCCAGGATGCCACGATCCCCTCGCAAAGGCTGAGCTGGAGAGAGGCCGCAAGGGGCCCGGTCGGTCCCTCTAGTCGACGAGGCCCCTGGCCCTGCCCACAGGGCCCCCGCGTCCAGGCTTCTTGTAACCTTCCCCTGAGGGGGCTCTCAGGAGATCCCGGGGACTGAGGCCGAGTGAAATGGAGGTGCAGTCTGCCAGCCGGCTGGGGGCTCCCCCCGCCTGGGCAAGGCCGCACCCAGGAGGGCCCGGAGATGCGCTGTCCTTTCTTGGGGATGGTCTCCAAAGGTCTCGCCGGCCCTGGCGGTCTCAACGGATCTGGGAGGCCGGATCTCCCTGGGGTTGCTGCCACCGGGGTGTCGTGGGTGGGGGCCCAGAAGGCAGGTTGGCTGGCCCAGAGGCCGCCCTCAGTGCCCCGTGGCCCGGAGAAGACAAGGATGTGGCTGTGGCCGCTGCACTTGTTCCCGCAGTGACGTCACCGCCTCCTTCGGCTCGGGCGCCCCAGAAGTCTCCATGGCAACCGCTAGAGCATCGCCTCTGCCATTGGCCGGGGCCAGCCGCATTGAAATCGGAGTCGGAGGGGGTCATTCAGGGGTGAGGGGTCAGCCCCCTGCCTTCAATAGCACCCTCCTTTCTCCTTGGAGAGAATGGCTGATTCCAGGGAGAGGGGACAGAGGAGATACAAGGTTATCCCGGAGCATCTTTTTGGGGGGTCGAGAAAGTCAGGAAATGGCCAAAGAATGAGGATAACAGGTGGAAGGACCGAGAGCCAGCTCGGAGGGCTCCCGCTGGCCCCATCTGGGACAATTTGAGCACCGATGTGACAAATGAGACCATAACCCCCTGATAAAATCAGAATCCAGGAGTCTGTGTAGACACAAACACGTGAGTAAATGGGAGGTGTGGTGGAGGAATGTGGGCTGTACGTTGGCTCATATACAACTTAGGGACCAGGGGAGGATTCTGTTCCGGATTCTGTGTCTCCCTCTCTCTCTGATCCTCCGCCGTTCATGCTCTGTCTCTGTCTCAAAAATAAATAAACGTTAAAAATTTTTTTTTTCTTTAAAACTTAGGGACCAAAAACAACATAAGTGTCTTTACCTCGGAATGTCTTTGAAGGACACACCCACTGCAACATTCAGGGCCATTTTCTCTCAAAATGGTTCAGGAGGGAAACAGAATGCTTGGTGCCCCACTTGCAACTTTCCTGTAAGTCTGTGATTGTTTCAAAATATATACATTTTTGAAACAGGCTCCAGGCTCCGAGCTGTCAGCGCAGAGCCTGAGGCGGGGCTCGAACCCACCAACCGTGAGATCATGACCTGAGTCAAAGCTGGATGCTTAACAGACCGAGCCACCCAGGAGCCCCTCAACTGTATTTTTAAAAAAGAAAACAAGAGGGGCCCCTGAGTGGCTCAGTCCATTAAGTGTCCGACTTGGGCTCAGGTCACGATCTCCCCCCCACCCCACCCCGTTCCTGAGTTTGAGCCCCTGCATCAGGCTCTGCGCTGACAGTGAGCCTGCTTGGGATTCCTTCTCTCTCTCTCTCTCTCTCTCTCTCTCTCTCTCTCTCTCTCTCTCCCTCCTCCACTTGCTCTCTCTCTCTCTCAAAATAAATAAATTAATTTAAAAAAAAAGAAAAAGAAATGGCTTGCACATACGATCACCTTCACAATGTCCATTGGCCCCCCTCCCCAGCCGAGTAACAAAAGCCATAAAGTTTGAGTTGGATTGACTTCCTCCGAACCCCCAGGTCCAGAGTGGGCCAATAAGCTTGGACTAATCATCATAATCCCACCCCCCTGCCACAGTGATTGGTTCAGAAATGGTCACCCAGGTAACCCAGGCCTAAGCCAATCAGCGTGTTTCATCTCCCAGCTCACAGAGATCGGTTAAGGGCTGGATACCTCAACCCAGTCCGATCAGAATGAAGTTTAGGATTAAAACAATTATTTTTATGTTTATTCCATTTTTTGAGAGGGACAGAGGGTGAGCAGGGGAGGGGCAGAGAGAGAGGGAGACATGGAATCTGAAGCAGGCTCCAGGCTTCGAGCTGTCAGCATAGAGCATAGAGCCCAGGAGAGGGGGCTCGAACCCACGAACTATGAGATTATGACCAGATACACTCCGCCAGGGGCCCTCAGGGTCCTCGCCAACACTAGCTACTGTCAGAACTTTCCACGTGGGCAACCTGGGTGTGTTTCTCAGCACAGTGTCTGGGGAGTGGAGTCTCGTGTTTTTAACTTGAATATTCCTGATGGCCAGTGACGTTGAGGATATTTGAGACAGAGACAGAGAGGGAGCAGAAGAGGGGCGAGAGACACACACAGAGAGAGAGAGAGAGAGAGAGAGAGAGAGAGGCTCCACACTGTCAGCACAGAGCCCAGTGCAGGGCTCGAACTCATGAACCGTGAGATCGTGACCTGAGCCGAAGTCAAGAGTCGTCACCCAACGGACTGAACCACCCAGTCGCCCCTTGTTTGTTTGTTTTTTTAAATTAGATTGTCATCTTTTCCTTATCGATTTGTAGTTCTTTATGTAATCTGCATATTGTCTTGATTGTTTGAGGCTGATCTGACCTGGACCTTCTGTAACTCGCATCCAAAATGCAGCTTTATTAACACAGAAAGAGTCACGAGTATTTACTGCATACAACCTTTTGCTTTGTCTTTTTCACACCTTGGAGTTGTCGTGGCCACAATTATATTGTAATATATGACGTGGGCACAATATTGGGCTGGCGTTTATTGTGCGATTTTTCTCTCTCTCTCACTTAAGTTTCAAAGACACTTCTCCAGCTCTCAAAGTATTTCCCCCCCTTGGTCACCCTGGAAGCAGACTGGACAAGTAGAATGTGTGAACTTGAGGGCAGGACTGGCGGGGACCCCGGGGGTGACCCGGGATGTGAAAAGTCCTTTCACTGGAAATCAACCTGAACTCCAAATGTGGCCCCTCTGTGAGACTTTACACCCAGCACCTCACAACGGCACCCTCGTCCACCCGTGAGTGTCCACACTGAATGACGGAGTGTTACGTCAGCGAGAACGCGGGGCGGCACCTGGTGATAGGATGACCTTGGACAACGTCTTGGCAAAGGTCCGTTGTTAGTTGGAGGGAATCGTTCAGGTCCGAGGCCACCGACGGCAAGCCTCAGCCTGGGAAATGGGACTTCAGGCCGGTTTTAATTTAGCTCCGTCTACTTCTCAAAAATTTGAATCGATAGCTAACTTTTCAATTCCCAAATCAGACGAAAAGTCAGATTTCTGGCTTTCCTTCAAAATAAGAGAATCTGGGGGTTCCTGGGTGGCTCGGTCGGTTAGGCGTCAGACTCTCGCTTTTGGCTCAGGTCATGATCCCGGGGTCAGGGGAGCCCCAGACGCCGTGCTTGGCCCCATGCTGGCCGTGGAAACTGCTTAAGATTCTCTCTCTTGAGGTGCCTGGGTGGCCCCGTCGGTTAAGTGTCTGGCTCTTGATTTCAGCTCAGGTCGTGATCTCACGGTTCGTGAGATCGAGCCCCGTGTCAGGCTCTGTGCTGACCGCACAAGCCTGCTTGGGATTCTCTCTCTTCCCCTTTCTATGCCCCTCCCCGGCTCACACACACTCTCTCTCTCAAAGTAAATAAATAAAACTTAAAAAAAAAGAGAGAGAGAGAGAGAATCTCTCTCCCTCTGCCCCTCTTCCCTACTCGCATGTACTCTCTCTGTCTCTAAAGTAAAAAACAAATGCCATCACAAATACGATGACTAAATTACTAAAACAGTTTCTAGTACTTTTAACATTCACTGGTTAACTTCTGTATCAGTCAGGATAAATTAGGTTCTGCGGCTAGTAACAGCTAAGCCCCCACATCCCGGTGGTTTGACACAAGAAAGCTTTATTTTTTTCTCACCGGCAAAGTGCAAAGTCGGCTGTGGGTCCAGATGCCTCTCGGGACAACCTCCTTCGTGCCGTGGTTTAGTGACCCAGGCTGCTTTGATCTCCATGTCACGTGTGTTCCCATGGTCACCACAGCAAGGGAAGAGAGAGCACGGGGGACGCACGCGAAGGAGCATCCGGATGTTTCCACTGGGAGGGGACACAGGTGACTCTTGCTCTCCTTTCGTTGGTCAAAGCAAATCACAGGACCACACCGAAACTTCAAGGGCGGGTGGGGGAGGGAAGGTGCCATCACCCATGGACCCGGCAGTGCAGGGCACTTGGAAATAACAGTAACACAGGAATGCCCCCCCCCCACAACTCTCATAATGTGCCGGGCACCAGGCTAAGCTTGGCACATGTATTTCATTTTGCAACAGCCCGATGACATGGATACTATTAATGTCCCCAGTTTTATAGTCAGGAAAACTGGGGATCAGAGAAGTTAATTCAGTTACCTAAGGCCACACAGCTAATGAATGGCAAAGCCAAGGCTTCCTTCTTCAGCGCCCTGACTCCCGGGCCCAAACATCCGACCTCATACAACATCACGCCGTCCCCTGAGAAAAGGGGGTCTGGGGGGGGGTGTCACCTGGCTTAGTTCCTGCTCTTTTCAGACAGTTGCTGTGTGATGTTGGGCAGGTGGCTTTCCTTCTCTGGACCATGTGATTTTGTTCTCATTTAGCCAAGCTGGGTTTATGCATCTCAGAATTCCTTTCCCCCAAGTGCCTCTGGCTTAGAGTTATCTGCAAGAGAGATTTGCATGGGATTTAGGTGGCAAGATGGGCATTACGGAGGGAAGGTCTACGCAGGCCCCAGGCCC